TTTAATAATAAAAAATAAAAATATTTTAAAAAATATACTTATTTGTTTTTAAACATGTCCTTATTAGTCATTTAATGTTAAATAACAACCGTTAATCATTATATAACCAAACAATTATATTTATCGAATCCGCTATTTACCATCCGCTACCCACTTTTCACTATCCATCATCTGCTATCTGCTAACCACCACTTACTACCGCTATCCACTATCCACTACCTGCTATCCACTATCCACTACCTGCTATTCACTATCCGCTGAATTTTAACTACTGTACCAAACAGGTCCTTAATGTACTCCACATCTGATTTAATTGTTTTACATACGGTGTAAATTTTTTTTGGAATCAATTACAATTTTAGAGGAGGGAGATTCAGTTATAAAAATGAGGAGTATATTTTACAACAAGACATATAATTATCATTAGATCATGAAATTTAAGTGTACATATAATATAATTATTTATTATTTATTATTTTATTATTTTATTGTTTTTATTTTTATAAAATTAATAATTTTAATAATAAAAAATAAAAATATTTTAAAAAATATACTTATTTTTTTTTAAACATGTCCTTATTAGTTATTTAATGTTAAATAACCGCTAATCATTAAATAACTAAACAATTATATTTATCGAATCCGCTATTTACCATCCGCTACCCACTTTCCACTATCCGTCATCTGCTATCTGCTAACCGTTACCCGTTACCCGCTACCCGCTACCCGTTACCCGCTACCCGCTATCCGCTACCCGCTACCTGCTATCCACTATCCGTTACCTACTATCCACTATCCACTAAATTTTAACCACTGTACCAAACAACCCTTAATGTACTCCATATCTGATTTAATTGTTTTACATACGGTGTCAATTTTTTTTGGAATCAATTACAATTTTAGAGGAGGTAGATTCAGTTATAAAAATGAGGAGTATATTTTACAACAAGACGTATAATTATCATTAGATCATGAAATTTAAGTGTACATATAATATAATTATTTATTATATTTTTAAATTATAATTTTTTAAAATTTTACATTTTTAATTAATTAAAATAAAAAATTATAGTATTAATAATTATGTAAAATTCTTTTACTTTATTATAAGTAAAGATAAAAAAATTAAATATTAATTACTATAACAAAAAAATTTTAATATTTATAAATAAATAAATAAACTGGGACAACCAAAACCAATTTCAGAAACTATTATATCCAGGGCAGCAAGTAAAAGTAATTCCGAATCCATCCTGCAATAATGGTCCTTTTTTTTTTTTTTTTCCTGAATAAAGGATCGGTATTGCAATTATTACCGTGATTAATTTTATCCGTATCTTACTAATTCTATCCTTTTGAGACATAGGTTTCGTTTCATATAACAGTTTTGGAGTAACGATTACTGATTTTACTTAAATCGTTAAATATAGTTATTTAATAAATTTATATATTTTGAAACCGTTATAAATAAAATAGTCGGTAAAATTTTTATTTAGCGATCTGAAACTAACGGATAGCAATTAGAGTCCAAACCGCTAGTGGATTGAAAAAGTTAGTTTACGTAATTTTTTTGTACCAAATCGCTAATAAATTAAAATTTTTTAATTTTATTTACAAATTTATTCATTTTATTTTTTTAATTTATGGTCACATTTTTTAATTAATAATTATCTAATAAATTTCAATTTTATTTTTTTACCTTTAATAGCATTAAGTGATTATAATATTTTTTATACATTAATTTATAATTAAAAAATATATTATCTTAAAAAACAAAATTTATTAATTAGACAAAATGATTAATTTTTTATTTAAAAATAATATAATTTTTTCTGTTTTAAAAATAAAAATGAGATTGTAATTACATTATTATAATTAATTTTGTTTATTTATTTTCTTAATATTATTTTTATAAAATTAATAATTTTAATAATAATAAATAAAAATATTTAAAAAAAAAATTAATTATTTTTTATTTAAAAATAATATAATTTTTTCTTTTTTAAAAATAAAAATGAGATTGTAATTACATTATTATAATTAATTTTGTTTATTTATTTTC